AAAAAAAAAAAAAGACTGATGCCTATCACCATGTACTAAAGTGAAATGGATCAAAGCCCTAAATATTAAAACAGAAACACTAAATCTACTGGAAGAGAACGTAGGTACAAATCTTCAAGACTTGGGTAGACAGATTTCATGAACAAAAACCCAAACTGATACTTCAAATAATCAACAACTGGGATCTCATCGTACTGAAAAGCTTTTACATATCAAAAGAAGTCACCAACAGAGCAAAAAGAAAATCCACAAACTGGGGGAAAAAATTAGCTAACTATTCCTCAAAGGACTTCTATGTAGAACATAAAAAGAATCAGGCCCACAAAAGTCAAAGACCCAATCCAAAAAGGGGCATCTAAGATGAATACACACTTCTGTGATAAAGAAATACAAATGGCAAATAAATATATGAAAAAAATGTTCAGCACCATTAGTCATTCAAGAAACGCAAATTAAAACAACACAGAAATTCCATCTCACCCCAGAAAGAATGGCTATCAAGAAATCAACCAATAACAAATGCTGGAGGAGCTTTTGGAGAAAAGTAACCCTTCTCTACTGTTGGTAAGAGTGTAGACTCGTACATTTACTGTGAAAATCATTGTGGAGAATCCTCAAAAAACTAGATTAGAGATCCCATTCAACCCAGCTAATCTCCTTTGGAATATTTTTCCAAAGAAATGAAAACATCATAATGCACTGATATATGTGCACCCATTTTTATAGCAGTACAGTTTGTAACCGCTAAATCTTGGAAACAACCCAAATGCTCATCAACGGAAGAATGGATAAAGAAGATGTGGTATTTTTATACAATGGAGTATGACTCAGCTATAAAGAAAGATAAACTCAAGGCTTTTATAGATAAATGGATGCAACTAGAGACCACACGCATAAGTGAAATAAATCATGTGTAAACACCATATTGTCTCTCCAGTGTAAGAACCTGAAAGAGCAAACAAAAATCTGAAAGGTATAATAGATATTGTGATAGGGAAAGAACCTGCTCAAAAGAATAACTGGGATTGAGGGAAAGAAGAAGAGACAGAGAGAGAAAGACAGACAGACAAACAGACAGGCAGATAGAGAATGAGAGAAAGAGAGAGAATATACACAGGATAGCTAAGGTAACTGTACTACTAATTTCTGTTGTTTTATTGAAAGGAATAGTAAATGTTTAATTGATCAGTCTTGCATACCTTCATCTGGTAATCTGAGCAACTACTTTGAAGGTAACAATGTGCAATATAATAACTATTGTTTATTTTTTATCGTGTTTTGAAATTTTCTACCATTTTTATTGTTTTTGTGTTTTCTCTTTAAAATGAAATTTTTGAAAAATAATAATATGAGATCTCTAATCCAAAACAACTTTAAAGACCCTGTGGCTAACTTAAGAGCATTCTTAGGGGCCGGGGAGATGGCTCAGTAGAATAAGCGCTTCCCTGGCAAGTGCAAGGGCCTGCTTCAAACCCCGGTTCTGCCAAAGGAAAAAAAAAAAAAAAGAGCTCTCTTGCTCATCTTCCATTTTAGCTTATACTCAATGGCTAATTACAAGGTAGCATTAATTATCTCATAAAAGTGTTTTAAAATTAGAGGGCATTAAATGCCTGTCACATTAACAAGAGGACTCTTGATCCTCCTCATTTCATGCCCTAGGTTCCAAGCCCCTTTGAGTTGGTCTTAATACACTGCTCAGGAAGCCTTCTATATAATGAACTCATTTCTTAACAGTTGCTATATTCTTGTCCCCTCTAAACCACTGAGGGAACACAAAATAATAATTACATGAATTTCAGTGAAATGTGAACTGGATTGCTAAAGGAAGAAATCAAAAGTTCAAACCAAAGAGAAAAGACAACACACTTAAGCTTCTGTATAACCAAACACCAAAAACAAAAGATACCTGGGTGGGTAGAAGACACACATTTAAGAAAGGATGGCTATCAACAAGAGAAACAGCCAACAGAGGGTCAGATTGAGTCAGGATGTAAATAGGTTATTCACAAAGAAATAAATACTAATCACAGCAGTCAGGGTTCATAGTTACCCAGAGGTGGTTGAATCTCACGGGCCCACTGGAAAGTAATTTACGTCTCCATATTTCAACAGACCTGTTTTTTAAAAGATGCTGGTCACAGCAGAGACAACTACACATAGCCCCAGACTTAACAATGATGGCCCTTAGCATGTTCAACCTTACTACAGTGTGCAGTCAACACACACTCAGCAGAAACATCACTGTGATTCTGGGTTTTTATCTTTCCCAGGCTAGTGATATATGGCACAGTATCTCTGACAGCCACAAAAATCACAAAGGTAAGCAACAGATGCTTTACAGAAAACTGTGTTGCTAGGCTACAATAGTCATGTTGGGGATATTAACTGCATTTTCCACTCACAATGGGTTTATCAAGACACAAACCTGTCTGAAGGGATGAACCACCTGTACTTGGCCTTTCATACCTGGATCTCTGTTGGTTCTTTCTGGTCTTCTAGGATAGGAAGCATATCACTGAATAACCCCAAAACTGTGTCCATTCCAAAGTGGTTTTCTTGTTTTCACTTTCACAAGTGAATACTATCATTTTAAGAATTCGGTAGACTATGAACCTGCTACAAATCTTGGCATACTCATAAGTATTATGCTATACCCAGACATAATTCCAAGATAATTAAAAAGCACTTAGCTGATACAACTACAACATTCTGCTCTAGAACAAGGCATAAAATGATTGCAAATTTTAAAATAACTGATGTTGCCTTTCACCAATAAGTATACCGGCAGGTCTGCATAAAGGCTATGGGTTATTCTTAAATTTTGTATTCGAATTTCAGGATCTTAAGTGATGGAATGACTTGAAAAAAAAAAAAAAAAAAAAAGATAGCTCAGTGGCAAAACTGCTGTCGGTCAAGCATAAGGGCCTGAGTGTAATCTCTAGTTTCGCAAAAAAAAAAAAAAAAAAAAAAAAAAAAAAAAAAAAAACCTCTATAAAAAATAAAGCAGTGACACTGGAGAGTCCTGAGTTTCCAGCACCAAAAATGATAATTAGTTAATTTAAAAAGATAAAGTAGCAGTGTCACAGCATCAGCTGGGGGGTGGTCACACAAAACCTCCACTCTGCCACCTTTTCAAGGCAAGATACTTTTAAGTTCTTAATCTTTGTGAAATGGGATATCTGTGTTATCTCTACTATATAATAGGTGTTTATACTTTCAATTGAGATAACGTACCTAAAAGTCTTTTTTTTAAACAAAAAAAAAAATATGGAATACTTCACAAATTTGCATGTCATTGTTGCACAGGGGCCATGCTAATCTTCTCTGTATGGTTCCAAACTATGTATATATGCTGCCAAAATCTTACCAATATTAAGAAATTCCATAATAAACAATATGTAATTCATTGCTATCAATTTAACATTAATTTTGCTAGACTTGTACATTTATGTAAGATATACATGTAGATATCAAAAACATTTAAAATTGAATACTCATTCTTCTCACATATCCTGTCATCTTCACCCCCAGAGGACAGAGACATCTCTGAATCAATCACCACCTCTCACAGTAATATTACTTAAATCTTCACCAAGCATGTTGGCAGTTCTCTGGAAGGTAATTAAGCAATGAAAATAAAATACTGAAAGTAACTCATTAATTTCCTCACAAAACAACTTCAAGGCTCATTGCTATACATATAATTTCAGTCATTAGGAAAAAGAACCCTGGGGAAGGCCCTAAATGTGGCATCAAAGGAAACTACCTATGCCACTTGCCAAGACTGCTTTCCCCAGTGACAGCAACGTTCTCTGATTAACAGGAATAAATTACATTACCCTGTCAACTCCAATTCATTGAGCAACCAGGGCTGAGGATTGGGCTGAAACTAGAAACAAGGAAAAATGAAAATTAAAAACTAAAACCCACTACATATGCTCATTTCTCAGGCCTCCAAAGTCCCCTGCTGTCAAGTGTTCAACCACTAATAAAGTGTTAACTGAGAGAATTTGGTAGACTATGAATCTGCTTTGTAATCTTCTAGGATGTTATACTAGAATAACTCTTACTAAGTTCCTCCACATAAGAAGACACCTGAGTCCATAACTGCAGAGTTATTTTTGAAATGATTATTGAATAACTCCTTTGTGTCAGTGACTTTATACTGTGTTTAAAAAATGTAAGGTAGGAAAACTATTATAGTATAACAAGATAGCTACTTTTTATAGGAGCTTAAGGGAGAATTCAGAAAAGTAACTCTGTGGGGTACATTGGGAGAGACCTAAGAAGCCCAGACACTTTGAAGGATGAATAGATGCAGAGTGGGCATGGCCAGTAATGTTCAAAGACAAAGAAATGACACACCAGGGAGCGCAAGCAATGCAACCACTTTTGCAGAGAAGTGACTTCTTGCCTCTTAAATAATCCTTTCCTTTGGAAAACTCATCCCAAGATAAGGATCCTTTAATTATAAGGTTTACAAGAAAAGTACTGTGATTTGGGCTTGTTTTTTGACAGTACTGGGGACTGAACCCAAGGCCTCTGCATTGAGCTACATTCTCAGCACTTTTTTGTTTTGAGGCAGGGTCTCATTAAATTGCCTAGGTTGGGCTTGCATTTATAATCCTCCTGCCTCAGCCTCCTAAAATGCTGGGATTACAAGCATGTGCCACCATGCTCAGCTATGAAATATTTAAGAACTAAAGTAAATATTTGATTTTTAAAATAAATCAGAAAGAGCCTGGAAATGTCAAGAGTGAATTTCTTACTAAAACCTTTGATTTAAAGTAGTAGTACAAGATTGCATTTCCAAGTTGCTGTTTGTGATGGGTATTTAGCTGTGGCACACTCTGATCTCTATGAGCCATCAAGTTGGTAGAGCCTGGCTTACACCTGTTGACGGGATTTGGGTGGGTTTCCCTTTTCTAATTTCTTGGGGAAAATGAGCATGCATACATTTATTAATTCACTTGATGCCCAAAGTGTAAAATCTAAGGTTAAAAGCCTAAAATATGATTCAGGTGACATCTCAAATTTTTCTTTTAAATGAAGCTTTTAAATTAAGTTCAAATGCCTCTTATTTTATACTTACTTTTATAATCATCAAAAAGGTAAAATGTCACTTCTTTTACAAATGTTGGCTTAGCCATATGACTATTCTGTGGACTGAATTTAGAAAATAAGCAGAAGGTTGGGTGTAATGGTCACTTGTAATACCAGCCATGGCTGGGGACAGTGAGGCAAGAGGATTACTGTGAGTTCAAGCCCACCCTGGACTACATAGTGAAACCTTGTCTTAAAAAAAAGCAGAGGACCAGGTCTAATATTGCTATTACTGCTTTCTGTGGGCCCTTTCATTTCCCCTTTCATTTCCCCTCTTCCAAATCAGAGTGAGCAGTTCACAGTTACAATAACAAGACAATGTATTTGAGTCTGAAATGTCCAGTGGGAGCTATAATATTGTGCTCTTAACCAAGACTGAATATGAGAAGCACTTCTATTTCCAACTTGCTTCTGTTGGCCTGAAAATGCAAACAAATTCAGCATCTGGCTCAAACTACAGAGTGTTTTCAAGGCAGGGAAAGGTTTCTAGCCAAACAAAATGTGAAAGGAAGATTGTTGCACATAAAACCTTTAACTTTTAACCCCATGTTTCTTAGTAAAAATGCTCCAGCATAACAGTATTTAAGCAGAATGAAGTGAAAGGGGTAGGGTCTCCTAAATTCACTGAATTATCCAGGCTGGGCTTGACTTTGTGACACTCTTGCCTCAAGCTCCTGGTGTACTGGTATTATAGGCTTGTACCACCTCTTCTGGCTATCTTCCTAGTAAAGATAAGACTTTTTTTTTTTTTTTAGTTGCCTTTAACCTCTCAGCCCCTTTCCTAACTCATAAATGATTTACTGTCTGTAAGAACAGCCATTAACTGTCATTGGATCACAACCAAAATTAAAAATTCAGCCCCATTTACTATATATAGCACTTTTTGCAGAGGCACATTTGCTTGCCTGCCACCCACTCTAAATTTCTTCTGCACTCCTACTCAACCACATGTCAGCTTTGATTCCTCTTCTGATGGGAATCTCCATGGTCTATCCCTGTTTGGCGAGATCCTGTGAAGGAAACAGTTTAAAGGTTTTGATGCTGGCCTGAAATGACCTATATACTTCAAATCAGACTTCAAATTCCTGGTTCATTTTAGTTTTTAAAACATACATTCTTCGCACAACTATACCCTCATATTTTGATTATTCAGATTTTAAAATATTCCAAGGCTTACCCCCCCCAAAAAAAGTTAATAGTTTCTTCACTCAGATACAAGAAAAATAAATAAATTTTTCTAATTCGGCTCAGTTCACAAACATGTTTATGTGACCCACCCGGTATGTTTCAAATACTTGATTTAATGTTGCCAAAAATTTCAGATGGAGAAATTTCACTTCAAATTCTAAATGTACATCTTCTCTTCCAAAACTGAAAACTATGCACCATTTCTCTAGCTAGACAAAAGGTAGAGTGTGCTTGTATAGTCATAACAATTTAAGGGAAAAACATGAAAGTTTTCTTTTCTTGGTACTTTTTTTCCCCCTACCAAAAAATAAGCTAGCCAAGGATAGTTCTCACATGGGCACTATACAGGTGCCCACTATACAGATTCCCAGCAATAATGAGGCTGAGCAAGGAAGACTAAATTCAAGGCCAACCAATTCAACTTAGTGAGACCCTACCTCAAAATTAAAATTAAAATAAATTTTAATGGTGGAGATATAGTTTAGTGGTAGAGTACTTGTCTAGCATGCAAGGCTCTGAGTTCAATACCCAGTACCACAAAAAATTAAAGTTAATAAAGCTCACTTTGAACAAAATGGTTTGTGTCTCCTTATTTTACCATACATACCATCAGTAATTTAATTCAGAAACAAAGCTTACCAAAGTTGCATGATAAGCCATTGATCATTATTTTATTTATTTTTATTTTTTTAATTTTTATTTATTTATGTGTGTGTGTGTGTGGCCAGCTCGGCCCACCAGGGGGCGGGGCTGGCTGGCATGTGGTGCTGGGGGATTGAACCGTGGTCCCTGTGCTTTGCTAAGCTTGTTCTAAGTAGGTGCTTTAGACCACTGAGCCATCTCACCAGCCCCCACTGATCATTATTTTAAAGAGAATACATAAGGTAAGTTATTAATGTATGGCAACACAAAGTCAAATATTTTTCTGTTTACTGTGATAAAGTATTAGCACTGAGATCTAAATTATATAATTTATTTTTTCTCTATGTTACTGCTAGACTTAAACTTGGTGTATAACAAAGGCATTTGAAAATTTAAACTCAATTTTTTTTTTTAGAATTAACTTTTTATACTAGTCTTGTATCTTCTTTATTGAAAATAGGTGTTATACTTGACTAATCAGGTCAGTCATTCTAGAAGCCTTCACAATTTCTTGTCTTTGCCTGCATGAAAAGGATACAATGCCTGGTTTGACAAGACATCATCGTCAGGCTCATTCTCAACCCTACCCCAGGTCACGTCTCTGTCATACGGGGACAAGAAGACTCATTTCATGGGAGAACTACCTGCACAAATGGCGTGGGTCATCATTTGCGTACTGTGGTAGCATTAATATGTAGGGCAATGCTAGAGTTTGGATCTCTCATGTCCCAAGGGCCCTGTTTTACAGCCTAGTCAGCAGCTAGCACCCCGGGAAATGGCGTAACTTTAAGAAGTGAGGCCAGTGGGAGCTTCACTTCAAGTCAATGAGGCAGTGTCCTTAAGGGGAAGAGTATCACCCCAGGTCCTTTCTTTCCCACCCACAAGAGCTTTGCTCTCCTATGCATTCCCCACCATGGTGGGCACCTCATCACAGGCCCAAAGACACTGGGTCAACTGATCATGTTCCAGAACCTCCAAAACTAAGAACCAAAATGAAGTTTTTCTTTTATAAGTTGATTGCCACAGGTATTTGCCACAGTAGTGGAATGCTAATATAGGGTGCTACCAAATTATTCACTATCTTCACCAATCTTAGGATAAAGTAAATGGGGCTAAACTGCGACACAGATGATCAGATTTAAAAGAGACATTCCCAGTCTTCTGGTAACTCTCCCAATGGGCAGAGTCTACTGGAGACATGATTATATTTAAAAAAAATAAAAATAAAAAGCATCCTGGGGGGCCTGCCCAGTAGCTCAGTTGTTTAAGTGCCTGCTTAAGCAAAGCCCTCAAGCTCAAGCTTCTTGGGTTCAAACCCAGACAGTTACTGAAAACCAGAAATGCCCTAAAAAGCATTTGAGCAAAAAAAAAAAAAAACCTTCTAAAAAGCATCCTGCTGCAGCAGAAAGCTTGCCATGGTCCAGAAGGCTGC